GGTTCGAATCCGACCTGCGGCCCTTTGCTGCGTGTCATCCCCTCTCTCTCTGCCCCCCTTTCCTGTCTATCTTTGGCTGTCACTATAAATAAAAAGGCAATAAAAGGCCAAAAAAATAACTAAAAAAAAAGCCACACCACAAATGCCTGAGCCTCTGCTATGCTATAATTACCACTGAGTAATTATCTGTAATCCTTTTCAGGGTGTCTATAGCTTGAAAAACACATTGGTTCTCATTAGCCATTGGCACTTGCATAATCTAGATATAATCTATATAAATATAAAACTATGTCATAGCAGGGATGTTAAGAGTGGGATCATTTTAATTTCCAAATGAGGGTTAAACAACAAAGTGGGGTTCAGAGCCGTGTTCATTGAGTTCTACTGTGGCCAGTCATTTGATCCACTGAATAAGGCCTTGATTTGTAACCAGGAGGAAGATCTCTGGTTGGAGCAGTCAGGTCAGTTATCTTTTAGTGTGTGCATATCAAATCTAATTTTCAGTAATGATGGCATGCACTCTGCCAGTGAGCAGAGAAGATACGTTTATTATATCCTGTTCTCTCTGATCTGCAGAAGCCCACTTTGAGGATGGAGAAGAATTCAGCTCCATCGGTGTCCGTAGTCACTTTATATAGCATCATGTACAGGCTGCAGCTTCAAGGCTACAGCACAGCAAATAGTTTCTTCCTAATTGCCAGGCACTTGAAACTGCTCATTCTCTTACTACTCTCTAAAAGCCCTTTACTTCAAGAAGGCCCAATTATGTTCAAGCATCTTCATTGCTTCCTCTTATGTGACCAAGGTTTCAGACTCTGTGTGATTAACCCCTTGTTAGTCTTTAGACGTTTTCTTTGACCAGGATAATAAGCAGACAGAAGGTAGATCCACTGTTTGTACTTTAAGAGTCAGTTGGGTAGTATGTGCTGTCATTTTTAAATAAGCAGTTTAAGTTAGCAATACATTACAAACATAATCAAAAGCACCATGTTCCTGCAGGCAGTATGGTGGATCTGACCAAAAAGCATGATTTTTAGAATATCAGGTTTTAAACATTTAAGTTTTGTTCACAAGGGACTCCAACAACTGAATTAGTCAATTTATTATAACAAGAAGTACTCAGCCTGTAAAAACTGTAATATTATGTCTTCTGTGAGAATAACCCTGATGATGTTATCTTAATTGGGCTTGGAGACAAGCTTATATCAGAAAGCCTGTGTGGCAAACTACAGACCATGAGATTCGCATTTACCAGTGAGGAAGGGGCTAATGAAACACACTCTTAAGTTGCGTTATGGAAAGTGTAGGAACCAGAAAAACACTATTACAACCTGAGTTTTGTTTTTTAAGCTCTGGCCATCATCTAATTGTGATAAAATTGTATTCACCAAGTTAATTTTTAAGATGGGAACACATACAGTCAGACTATCAGATTCCAGATGATCTAAACCCCTTTATTTGGAGGTGAGTGAATGCACCTGAAATGTTGCTAGTGATCCGTCACTGTACAAGAAAACTGTACAGAAATGATGACTGGTGGAAGCTGAACATGAACTGAGTTATAGCATAACATGTGACTATGCAGCTTTTATCTTTTAACCAACATTTGTTAAGTTAGCTAATGTTAGCAAATCGTTTCCTAACTAATGATTGATCTAAATTAGCTAGTCAGTAAGCATTTTGTTAAAATTAACTTTGAGAAGTTACTAGCTATCTTACAATTAATGTAGATTAGCTAGCATTTTCGTGATAGGAAGTTGACAGAGGTTCTGACCAAGGCCTGCTCAACTCACTTTCTTCTGCTGGCCGCCAGCTAACTTAACGGTAGTGATTGTCGACACAGACCAAGTTTGTAAATGCTGGATAGTTGTTGTGTGATCGGATGCACTAACCGACAAGGAGGAGGACTTTCTCCACTGCTGCAGAGTTTTACAGCGGGAGGTGCTGCTCCTGCTCTCTCTCTCTCTCTCTCTCTCTCTCTCTCAGTAGTGTGACAGCTAAAAATTAAAGATTAGATTGAATCAATACAGCACAATATAGTCGATTCCAATCAATTAAAAAATGCCTTGACTGGCACCGACACCGATCTTTGAGATTGGATCGGGACATCCCTAGTCTGTACTTTTGTCTGCTTTCACTCAAGCAGCAGTGTAAGGTAGGGATTCTCCTCAAGATAGATGAAAAGATCGCCAAACTGAGGCTGTGGCAGGGACTTTGCTGTTTTCAGTGACAGAAATATTGTGGTGGGTGCTGTATAGGGATCACAAGTACCCAAAACTTGCAGTTTGTTTACATATCTTTGTTTTTATTCTTTTGAGAGGTGATATAAATATGCATGGCTTGAAATAAATGGATAATTCACATGCCTCTTTTGCAGTTGTACATAGTTTCCAGTGGCAGTCGCTACATTGTTTTGCCTTCCAGTCTAGTTTTGTTCCAGTCACGTGACTGAAAACTATGAATTTGAGCACAGAGCAAAAAGAGGCGGGACTTAGGAAGGGTCAGTTAGTTTTGTCAGTACAATATTTAACTGATAGAACTGATGGCAAAAGCTACAAAATAAAGCCCAGGTTGTAATAAACTGTATTTCTCCTTAAAATAAACTATTTAGAAATAACAAAAACACAATACCAATTTATGTATCAGGGATTAAACAAACAGAAACAAACCATGCATGCTCCATACAGTCAGCACAGCCAAGTCACATGCTCTGCAGTCAGCTGTGGACCTCCAATATGTTTGTGGTGTTCACAGTCCCACTGCAGATTGTACAAGGTTATCTGGGCCCAGATTCTTGGCCGCTGCATGGTACATTGGATCGTGTTGACCAGTGTGAGCTGTGTTAAATGGCGCTTAAACTGGGGCAGGGTTTAGTAGTCATCTGCCTGAAGCCGCTGCCCACCCAGCACCAGGCTTCCACAGTGCCTTGCCAACAGATCCCTGGGGCATCACACTCCTTTTACACTGGCATCACCCACCGTGGCACGAGCTCCCTGGTTCTGATGTGGTCGAGCTTTTCAAAGTGACACACAAACACTCAAACTCTTATTTTCTGTGTGTTACCAACATGTTTTGTCTTTGACATTTTCAGCTGACTAAGCTATAGTCTGTTTGCATGACATTAAGCTTCTATGAAGAGATGTGGATTTATTTCCCTTAAACCTGAAAAAGATTCTGTAATTTTAAATTAATGCAAACTAAAGTCATGTCAACACTAAATCAGTAGCTACTCAAAACAAATATTTCCATTTATAGCTCAGGAGGCATAATTGTGCACATTGGAACATTGCAGGGCCTGCATGTGACCTTTTCTAATATAAATGCCATGCATATATATGCTGCCACTTTGCATAGATAACATTTCACACATTCTCACAGACTGTATTATGTTTTGATTTATTTAAAATATATGTGCATGAAAATGATTAATAGATAGAATCTGTTTGGCACTCTTTACATTTAGAATTTGAAACATTAAAACAGTATAAAAAATATTTTTTGGAATGTGTTTCCTAGGGAGAGTTTGTGTGTGTTTCTGCCTTCTTCTCCACAGCTGTGTAGGTACACTAGGGAAGCTCTGGCTGTTGCTGTGCGCCTGTGTAACAGAGCACATTCTGCCTCCCCATCTCTGACAAAAGGCCCTAATGGCTCAATATTTTAATGTCTGCTTCAGCTAGTGAATACAAAATCCTCCTTGCCATCTGCTGCAGCTGCAGATGCTCCTCTCCTCTCAGTGAGCTGAACGCATTCACTGGTGAGTGTTTTAATTTCACGTCAGCATCGGGAGACCTTCTCCGGAACAAATTATTCCAAATTATGACAGAGAGCCTCACAAGAGCCTTCTCTGTTCCCTCTGGGGGATACAGCTCCTGGATTAACCTTTGTGTAGAGTCAGTCTTTGATCTGTGAGTGTGTGTGTGT